CAGATGTTCACCTGCACATCTGCTAATGTGGTATACTGTATCTGCTGTTCCCAATGTGGCCTCCTCTACGTTGGGGAAACCAAGCGGAGGCTTGGGGACTGCTTTGTGGAACACCTACGCTCGGTTCGCAACAAACAACTGCACCTCCCAGTCACGAACATTTCAACTCCCCCTCCCACTCCTTAGATGACATGTCCATCCTGGGCCTCCTGCAGTGCCACAACGATGCCACCCGAAGGTTGCAGGAACAGCACCTCATATTTTGCTTAGGAACCCTGCAGCCCAATGGTATCAATGTGGACTTCACAAGCTTCAAAATCTCCCATCCCCCAACCACATCCCAAAACCAGCCCAGCTTGTCCTCGCCTCCCTAACCTGTCCTCCCACCTATCCCCTCCTCCCACCTTAAGCCCCACCCCCATCTCCTACCTACTGACCTCATCCCGCCCCCTTGACCTGTCCGTCCTCCCTTGACTGACCTATCCCCTTCCTAACTCCCCACCTACACTCACCTTTACTGGCTCCACCCCCGCTTCCTTGACCTGTCTGTCTCCTCTCCATCTATCTTCTCCCTTATCCATCTTCTATCCGCCTCCCTTCTCTCCCTATTTATTTCAGAATCCTCTTCCCCTCCCCCATTTCTGAAGGAGGGTCTAGGCCCAAAACGTCAGCTTTTCTACTCCTCTGATGCTGCTTGGCCTGCTGTGTTCATCCAGTTCTACACCTTGTTATCTCAGATTTTCCAGCGTTTGCAGCTCTTACTATATTTGTTAAAAGTGCTTTGCAACTGGGATATGAAAGTTATCAACCAAGAACAGAACTAATAACTCAATTTTTCCTGCAGGTACCTCTCTGATTATTGTAATAACTACTGCTACGAAAACTCGTTATTGAAATGACCTTCTGAAATTGGTAAAAACTGAAAGAACTGTGGATGCTGTAAACGAGAAGCAAAAACAGAAATTGCAGAAAAGCTCAGCAGGTCTGGCAGCATCTGTGAAGAGAAATCAGAGTTAAAGTTTTGGGTCCGGTGACTGTTCTGAGGAAGGGTCACTGGACTTGAAACGTTAACTCTGATTTCTCTTCACAGATGCTGCCACACCTGCCGAGCTTTTCTGAAATTGGTATCACTTGCCATACAGATTTCTGACTGATTCAAACTTACAGGCATCTGAACAACTTTCATAATGTGAAAAGTGGAAGTCTGAAAACGAAATTTGCAAATAAGCATGTAACCTTATGTTAAAACATTCTCACAGTAATTTAGTTCCTGCAAAAATTGGCTGCTGGAATTCTGCTGCATTTCCCAGTTCACCTTTTGTTCTTTTGGGTCATGACCAAATGAGGATGCTCAACTAATTAACACCTCCCAAACTGCAACAGTGACACACTAGTTCATAATTTTTCCTGTGCAGAACCTTGTTAAGTCCTACAGGCATTCATTGTTGAAAGACAGTTAAAATTATCGCTGCACATTAAATCAGTGCACTGAAATTCCCGAACTATATCAATGCCATCATGCCCGGCTATTAGACAGAGAGCAGCTTTTAATTTCTTTTTTCATTGAGTGTAATGTTGTAAACGACTGAGAAAAATAATGGGATAAGGCAAGAAAAGAAAAAAGTGCTGGAAATACTCAGATCAGACAGCATCTGTGGAGAGAAAATGAATATGTTTTGGGTCCAGGACCATCTGCCAGGCCAACAACCTGAAATATTAACCCTGTTTCTTTCTCCACAGATGCTACCTTTTGAGTTGAGTATGCTTTTTAATTTCAGATTTCCAGCATACATTGCAGTATGCTTTTGTATGAGAATGAACTGGAAGTTGTGGCAATGCTTATGTATGGTACTGTTAGTCATGAGAGATGTTTTAGTGCTTGAAAGTCATATCTTGCTTTGCTACATTTCATGGTCTGCTTCATTTTCCTGGGACCATTTCCCAGCACTCCACTGTGCCCTGCTCCTTTGACTCCCCTTGCACTACTACATGCTCTTCTTCACAAAAGACAAAGAACTTGCTGGAAAAGTACAGCAGGTCTGGCAGAACTGAGGAAGGATCATTCAACCTGAAACATTAACTCTGATTTCTTTCCACAGATGCTGCCAGAGCTGCTGAGCTTTTCCAGCAATTTCTGCTTTTGTTTCCAATTTACTGCATCTGCAGTTCTTTCAGTTTTTACATGCTTTTCCCCTTCTATCCTTATTGTAGTCTATTGCTTAGCTCATAGTGAAGTTACATTGTATGTATAGACTAGATCCTTGACTGCCCTCAACAAATGTACCACAATCTCAAACATCAGCTTTTCAAACATTTAAATGATGCAACTTGAGTAGTATGTTATTTCATACTTTCGATTCTGTCCAGTGCTCTGATTTGTATGTGACAGAGACAGAGACAGGATAGATAATGATAAATATGAAATTGGTTAAACACTACATCAGTGCACCTGCAGAGGGCAATGTGCACAGATAATTAGTCTCCTAAACATCTTTAAAACTACTCCCAGTTAAGCAAAGATGTGAATATAAAGATCTGGTTTATGAGATAATAGCTAACTTAGTACAAAAAATTTTTGTATTTTGTTGTTGTGCTTGTAGACATGTACCCTTCAATTTTTGGGGAACATGTAGATAATTTGTTTCAATGCACAGGTCCTTAATTTTTTTTTGTGCACCTGTGACAACATGAAGGGACCAACTTGTGCACGGGGAGTTACAGGTTGTTGCATGTTTGCATAGCCTGACAACTTAAGAGAGAGCATTACTAGTGGGTGTTGTTTCAGAAGAACACAGAAAACATACTTTAAAGCTAATAGTCTCCACTATAAATTGTACAACATAATTAATGCACACAAAATACATCATTTTAGCTTCTAAAGAAGAAAAGAATTCTTTGTTATCCTTGCACAGAAACCAGAGATAGAAAAGGTGCTACAATTTCTTTTACACTTCGGGTGAATCAAAAAATAATCTTTGTTTCATCAAAATAACCTACAATGTTAAGGTAAGGTACCTGAAAAGAATTTAAATTAGGTTTGCTCTTGTTTAGCTTTCATAAAAGTACTACAACATGAACCTTTACCTACTAGCCCTCACATTGTTAAGAATAACAGCAACTATGCTGCTACATTGCAGGAACATTGAGGGTGTGCCAAATACATGTCCCACAATCAACAGGAAATAGCAATCATTTCCTGGTCTTATATCTGACTATAGTGAGTCATTAATCTGAGAAAGGGAAGGAAATAAGACTCTAAAAACTGTAAAGAGTCAGTTAAAATGTTGCTTGCTAGACAGTTGAGCCTGTGAATATAGCAGCTAATTGCTTTTCCACTACCAAAGAGTTGGCCCTCTAGATAAATGTATCTGCATTTTTAGCTTATGGAGTGAAATGTGAACTATAATAAAAGGTCCAGATATTACAGGTTATCAGAGTAACAGTCCCAGTCACATAGTTCATTTTCACAGTACAAAACCATGAAACGTTTGTAGATGTATGCAGGAAATGTGATGTAAAAGCTTCTTTGCTGCTGAATTTGAGAGTCCTCATGGATTACAACAATTAATACATTTCTGAAAAAGCAAGCAAAAGAACCCGCAAAATCAGAATATATCCCAGTTTAAAGAATGATGGAAAGTGAACGTGGCTGTTAATGAAAATTGCCTCAAACTAATTTTGTTCTTTACATTAAAAAGGACCAAGGTGACAGATTATAAAATGCAAAAATATTTTCAACGATAACAAATCAAGCATAGACGTACAAGATAGCTCATTTTACTTTCTTATTGGGATCTGAACATTTAGTTGTTAATAGAAAGTACAGAATGCAATGATGGAGATGTAAAACACAGCACAACAATTTTCTCACCATTTTCCGAATTGCCACATTGGAATGGTTAGCTGCTGTTGAAATAAGCTCCAATGATTCTGAAATGTAAGAACGCCTATTCAGTCTATAGAATAAACAATTTATGAATATTCACAGCTATAAACAGCTACATTTAAAAAAAGATACTTGGCCATTTATTTAAAAAGTGGAGCTTGGGTAAGAAAGTGAAAATAAGATGAGTAGTGATTGTATTGAATGACGGAGTACTCAGGGGCACGTGGACTGCTTCTGCTGTGACTTCATACATTCTAAAAACTAACTTGCATTATTTTCCCTTTCTCCTTCTCATCCAATTCACCTTTCTCAAGGCATTCACTCATTTTATGCTATGGATTTATGGACATTAGATACCCCTTGATATCTCATCCAACTTGCCACTTTAGACTTGAATGTCAATGGTGAGCATTCAAAGACTAATTCACTATGAAAAGTCTCATATCTGAGCCATTAAGACTGAAGATAAATTCTGTCGGGCTACAGACAAAGCAAAAATAGTGGCGATTAGAAATTAAGTCATCTGACTCCTCACATCTTTTAATTCATATTTCAGAAATTACATTGACAATATTGCAAGTGTCTCCTACTAATCAGGTTTACATTCATATTTTGTTTGATTTAGGAAAATATTTATTTCCTTTTTAAGCATTTTGATTATTTCCTGCACAAATTGCTCACTTTTAATCTTTGTCCTTAACATTATTTCTGGATAAATATTACAAGTGATCAGCATACAACATGCTTCTTACACAAACAAACTGAATTTGGAGGTTCAGTGCAAATTGGTCAAAAATCCAGAAAGTATCAGGGCAATTGAATCTAAGGAGACAGCTCAAAATAAGCAAAGCGATTTACATTTTTTCCTCTTTATCCTTTCACAGGATGCAATTACTGCTGGAAGCGCTAGGGTTTGTGGCCCATCCCTAAGTGCCCTTGAACTGAATGGCTTGCTAGGCCATTTCAGAGGCCAGTTAAGATTCAGCCACATTGTTGTGGATCAGGAGGTCACATGTAGGTGAGGACAGCAGATTTTGTTCCCTAAAGGACATTAGTGAATCAAGTCTTTTTTTAAAAAAAAAGAATGATGGCTTCCCCATTACAAGGGCTAAGTCCAGATGTATTAATTGACTTTAAATTCCACCAGTTGTTGTTGTGGGACTTGATCCTGTGTCCCCAGAGCAATAGCCCTGGCCCTCTGGCATTGTTCTGAGGAAGGGACACCGGACCTGAAACGTTAACTCTGATTTCTCTTCACAGATGCTGCCAGACCTGCTGCGCCTTTCCAGCAACTTCTGTTTTTGCCTCTGGCTTGCTAGTCCAGTCATGTTACCACTGCCCCACCACTCCCCTTAATGAAAACAAATATTGCCAGTAAGTATTGTAAAGTCAATTCTGTGTACCAGCTAAGCACAATTACCCAAATAAAGTTATACTCATGGTCATTTCCTTCCACAGTTCATGTTCTACTTTGTGCCATATTTACTAAAGAACATTTGCTGCCCAATATTAAGACATGATTATTATTTCAGGAATACTGTTTATATTTGCTGCAACCTTCGCAAAAAAAAACTTTAGATCTAAATAAAGTGTTATTGACTACTGACCGAGTAGTCAACTATTTCTATTTGAAACAGACTTATTTCTTACTCTCTGCATCTTTCCTATCCTCAGAATCCTCAGGCAGTTTCTTTAAATAATCCTTCAGAAGTAGTTCATAACGGGGAATGCGTTGCACTGGTTCCAACATGTGATGTTGCAATGTCAGATTACCACAAACGTCTTGCTTCTGTTAAATTTATGAAACATATTAATCAAATAATGCCTTTCAAATAATGCATCTCAAATAAATAACAGCAGTGACAAGTAACAACAGTGAAGGCATTTTGGGTGTTTTAACCAGTAAGTGGCTAAGGATAAACATTGCTTTTCATTTTTGAGCCTCCGGTTCAGTGACTAGATTACTGAAAGCAGCCTCATGTTCAGATGTTTACAAATTTTCCTTTCTCCTGGGATGTTGTAGGAAACTATTTTGCTCTGCTTCTCCAACAGAGCAGAGAGTTGGAATCGTGAGAACCTGTCACCAGCCATTTCACCAAACATGCTGGTTTAGCCGGTTGGTTATTGAATGAGTCACTTGCTAGTTTCAGTAGGGAACGTCAATGTTCTATGTGGTCTTCACACATACAACCTGCCACGTTCCATTGTTTAGTAACAAATATGATTCTCCATTAAGCTGTGGTATTTAGTTTATTAACTGGTGGGTGTAGAGCTAGCCCAACCTGTTCATCATTTCAAGAAAATATCCCCTGACCCTTCTTAATCTTTAATCTATATTGCTTGTATTTTCAACTTCAAAATTTTCTCTCATCATTTTTTTTTTGAGGGGTATATTTATTGCCTGGCATTTTTAAAAATAAGGGTAATGTATCCTTTGCAACACCTTGGTAACTATAGCGATTTTTGGGAAAACCATCCTATTGACTGCCTCTTAATCATTGCTCTCAGCAATTTCTTTTTCATATGCAAGGACTACAGCTTTTTTTAAAATGTAATCTATTTTTCTAATCAACCTGTTCAGAGATGTTATTACACACTTCTAGGGCAGGTGGGACTTGAACCTAGGTCTCTTTGTCCAGAGGTCAGAACACTACCACTTGCCACAAGAAGGTACCTCTATAACTATTCCTTTCGAGAAGCTTAATCAGTATCAGAATAATTATGAACTCAATTCAGCTGGTAGCACTTATTAAAGGGTCAAAAACTTGAGTGAAAATTCAACTCAGGACTTGATGCAGAACTGTGTTATAGCAAACATTTCACTGTGGTACTGGCATTACTATCATAGAACACCCATAGTGTAGCAGCAGGCCATTCGGCCCACCAAGTCCATATCAACTCTCTGAAGAGCACCCCACCCAGACCCACCCCATTATCCTATCCCTGTAACCCTGTATTACCCATGGCTAATCCACATAGCCTGTACATCCCTGGACACCATGGGCAATTTGATATGGCCACTCAACCCAACCTGCACATATTGGACTGTGGGAGGAAACCAGAGTACCCAGAGGAAACCCAAGCCGACTTGGGGGAAACATGCAAACCCCACACAAGTGGTCACCCAAGGCTGGAATTGAACCTATGTCCCTGGCGCAGTGAAGCAGCAGTGCTAACCACTAAGCCACTGTGCCAAGTAGTTCCTTTGGTTAAGATTAAACCTCAGTTTAATCTCTGATTAAACTGCTTCAATAACTTGGGTTGATATTGAAGCTCCCTTTGCATAAGTAAAAAAGCACGGGCTTCTCCTTGTTTCCAGGCCAAAATTCTAACCTCAACCAACAGACCAAATGAATTCATCTCATGGTTGATGGGGACAACAATTGCTGCACTTACCTATAGAACTTTATTCACTGCACATCTGAGATCATCGTATGTGAAGGACTTTGAACCACGGCTATAACATCTGAAAAAGTACTACTATGACTGCCTTCTTCTACGTTAAATGAAAATACCCTCAAGAATTTTTTTTAATCCGAGTGTCAAAGTTGGGTGATAAAGAAACTACCAATCTGGAACACCACCTGCTAAATAATGACATTGATCTGATTCACCAACACAGTGAGGAGAGATTTTAAACAGGAACAAACATCCAGGAAACTCCATCGGGTTTATTACTTGCTTATTTGGCATAACCAGAAGTCCATAAGATTTAATTGCCAAACGAATTTTAAACACAGATCAAGGGCCCTTGAGGCGTATTGGTAGTGTCTCAATCTCTGTGATGGGAAGCCTGGATTCAAGTTCCACTTGTTCCAGGTGTGTGCAACACAAATGTCTGAACAGGTTGAATAAAAAAAAAAATCCACTTCTTGCCCCAGAATGGGCACGTGCAGGGTGTAGAACAGCTATTGAGGGTGAAGATTAAGTGGGTATTTATTTCTGCCAGTTTTCAGACAAATGGTGGCACTTGGCCACTCAAAAAGAAATATCATGGGGGTTCTAATAGCTATTACTAAAATATATATTCATTACTGGAGCACAACTTATCAGAAGACCAACACATCATTAAGGAAAGTGGGAAATTAAGTGGAGCATGGTGGCTGCCCCACAGCTCCAGGGACCCGGGTTCGATTCCACCCTCAGGCGGCTGTCTTTGTGGAATTTGCACATTCTCCCGTGTCTGTGTGGGTTTCCTCCAGGTGCTCCAATTTTCTCCCACATTCCAAAGATGTGCAAAGTAGGTGGATTGGCCATGCTAAATTACCTAGTGTCCAGAAATGTGCAGGGTACATGACTTTACTATGGGAAATAGGGTAGGAGGGTGGATCTGGGTGGGATGCTCTTTGGAGGGTCAGTGTGGACTCATTGGGCTGAGTGGCCTGCTTCCATACTGTAGGGATTCTATTCTATGATTAGATTTGCTCAACTTAACCTTAGAATCAAATTGGTTCAGCTGGACTAACAGATTCAGCGATCATAGAATGATCAAATACATATTCATTGAAATGTCCCAGAAATTGTTGCAAACTTATGGTGTATAAATCACAGATAGTGAAGGGCAGGTTGCTACCAGTACATTCCCCAAACCAAGGCACACATGGGATTTAGAGATGGGACTTTCAGAATTGTGCACATATCCTATGTCAGTCCTCATTTCTATTGAAAACCAACAACTAACAATTACATAATTATTCATCAGTGAATAATATGGTCTATATGCAAAAACAATGACATTCCCCTTGAGCAGGTATATAACATTTTATAGTTATAAAGGCTTTCAATTGCCATTATATTTGCTATGGAATCATGCCAAGAAAAGTAACAATAAAACAATCCAATTAATTCATAATATTCTACCTTTATGGAATAATCAAGCTGTATCTGTACTATGTGTTATTTCATTCTGGATCTATACTTCACGTATTTAATCCCAATTGATGTGAAATGTTAATTGAGAGAAGTGTCAGATTCAACTACATATTGAACAGGTTCAAAATGTCACATTCATTCAATCTGTCTAAACAGGGTTCAAAAATTGATAACATGTTGCTTTGTGGATCTTGATAATTCTGGACTCAAAAATGCAATAACTAACTATAAAAGGAAACAGAAATAGTCTTATGTAATTAGGGTACTTACTTGAATGTCCTGAATGATGGACTTAAATTGCGATGATCGCTGTGTCCAGGAGTTCACCAGGTCCATCGCTCGGTCAAAATTCTTTACATATTCTCCATACATCTTTAAAAAAGGAGCGAGCTTTTGCAGAATATCACCTATTCGAGGGTTTTTGTCCCTGCAATGAGCAGAATAACCAAAATTACTGCAGTTTAAGTTTGTTGCATTCTCAAGCCAACTTGACATTTTTGCAGAGTTCAAAATAAACCAAACTATGCCTTTGTGTTCTGTTAAACTTTTATAATATTAGTTGTCAAATGTTGGCTAAGTTTTTGTTTAGTCATTTCTTAAAAATTAGTACATTAAGAAAATACACCATTATAACTTGAGCACAAGGAAATACAGTTACTTTCAGATTGCAAATGGTGCAATGCTATCCAAAACAGTTCAATTCCCCTTCCAGTTAGGAAGGTCAAAAACAGCTCAAAGTTTTGCATTTACTTTTTCTGTTTTTGAATTATCCACACAACTGTTACTCTTTCACTACACAACTCCAATAAGTCAGTATTTCAGCTATCTGGGGCTCTTACTCAAATGCTCAAGACTGGTCCTCTAGCCTTCCCTAATTTGCTAAAAGGATGATAAGCCAGTCGCCTTAGCAATTCACTCCAGTCCCTGCCCCACTGCAGTTAAATGTCTGTCAATGTAATTGTTTCTCACAGATTAGTTGAATGAACAATACTATGACATATGGAGTACAACATATTGAAATGAAAGATCATCCACATTCGGCCAACGGTGTTTAGATCAGAGAACAGTGTTCTCCATTTATGTCGGCCGATCCGGGTGCATGTAAACATTATCGGTACTGATCCAAAATGGTGGTGGACCAGGTGTTGTGTATATATGTCTGCATTATTATCTATCACGTGTTGTGCAATAATGATTTTTTTTAATATGTGCACAATCCTAAAACTTGTTTTTTCTTGTAAAACTGTTTACAATCAAATAGAATAGAACTGTCTAAAACAGTGGTAACCACGTATAATTGTCAGTTTTGTAAATAGCTTCCAAAGATAGTTGCTTCTTTCTTGAGAACTGCGCTTTTGCTACAAGATTGAAAAGTTGGTCCAATAACTCAAATGCTTTTTCGCTTGTATTCGCGGCCTCCTGAAAATAATCACACAATGTCTAACTTATTGAATGTTTGTGGATGACGTTGTGTTGCAATTTAGCAATGGATGGTTTTTGTGGTTTAAGTGTAAAGTTGTCAACATCCATTTTGTTTGCAAAGCTTTCAGCCTTCTGCACAAAATGTGCTTTTGTTAATGCTACGCTTGGTTCAGCGTTAATTGTATTGTTATACTTAATTGAGAGCGCTCTCTCTAAAGCCTGGATTTTTTTTTGCAAGTTACATCTTTTGTGTATTAGCATTCCACTCTCCATTCTCGTTCTTCTTTAACTTTTTCCAGCATTGTTTATCAAACCACTCAGTGTTTCTACAGATATCACTGGGATGAAAATTACAGTGTGTGTTTGAATCCTTTTCTCATGTTTGTTATGAAATCTTTCCATCCGTTTTGTCATGCGTAATGTAGTACATTCATCTTGTCGTATTAAAAGTGCACTGGCAGATTCTTATGAATGTGTTGGTAACTGACCTCCATGATTAAAGTAGAACAAAATTTAGGTCTCTCTCTAGTGCTGCTAATTTTATTCCGGATTTGACTTAGCTTATATTGGTTAATTCATTACTTTGATAAGGTCAATGGGAAAACCCTATTTCTGTTACAAGGGAGTCCAGCATATGAAGACACAACACTAAAATTAAAGCCAGACCATTTAGGATGATGACAGGAGTACCCCTTACATACAGAGGCTTGTGGAAGTCTGAAGAACTTTCTCCCCAAAAGATATCCAGACTACGCCAATTGAACATTTCATAGCTGATAAATTTTTGGCAGGTAAGGATACTTAGGGATTATGGGAACAAGAGGGTGAACAAAGCTAGGAGCCATGCTCTAACTGAATAGCAAAATGGATTCAAGAGCATGAATGGCAAATGGCTTAATCCTGATCCTATCTTCCTACTGAAGAGACAGCTGGAACCCTGCTTCTGAACTGTCCCCATTAACTTCCATCTAATCCCTGGTTACCCTTCAAATGGTTGCATCCTTTTTCACCCATGGTCATGACCTCTTCCTGAATGGGAGATCAGACTCCTGGGCACTATTGTTTGCATCCTGGGAGAAATGTATATTGCATGGCATTATGCCTGTGAGGGGTTAAGCTGTCAATCACTGCCCTCCCGTTTTTCTGCCTCAGTGGAGTTGGTGGCAGTAGTTTTAGGGTGGGTGATTGCCCATTGGAATATCCCTCATGACAGGCTATTGGTTTCACACCTGACCTCTTTAGCGGAGGTGGCCTGGTGCATTCTGTGAAGCTCTGGCAGACTCCTTGAATCAGCCAGAAGAGGGACGGCTGTGCCTGCAGTAACAGGCTGCTTTGCTTCTTAAACAAAATGTGAAGTGAGTAATTTAAATGGCAGTCTGTGCAGGCTGATATACCATGATGCTGACTAGAAGATCTGAGCCAATATTCTATTGAGTTCCAGAGAAGAATAAAACCTAATTAAAAATCATATACATTCAAGAAGAAAACAATTGGTTGTTGATGATATGGAATTACAATAATTTGTCTACATATTCTGAGCCAAGGAGGCACTCTCTGTTGTGGAAGAGTTAAAATATTGCATTTCCTATTGCTCCTTATGAAGAGCCATTGAACACTATTCTGTGCAAAATACCACTTAAACAGCACCAAAAGTGACTGGACTAAAATGTCTGCAATTATTGTTAATAAAATGCTTAATTTAATAAATTTTCAACAAAAATCAGTGTTGAAAAGCCAGGTTTACTTTAGGTTGTTCACTGTTAAAACAAACGATAAAACCCTTCTAACTTGTGCATTAAATCATCAGTTTCTACGACCAGTCATCCTATAACAATGTATATATTTCGTCCACACTGTACAAACAATCATGGTGCCAGTGTTGACATATTTGCCTTCAAAAACGATGAATGTGCGGGCTGTGAAACTTTCAGACTTTCAGCTTCATCAGCCCAAACCATTTAGCAAGAAAGAAAAACATACTATTTCTCATTTAACTTTCTCATTTTCAATAGCAAAGTAATGACTGAATTCCTGTTTTTGGCACATATACTTAAAACTTCACACATTACTGATGAATCAGCATGGCTTCAATTCACAAACTTGTGTGGGACTTACAAAGCACAAGAATCTGAAAGATAAACACCAGCTAATATGAACTGGCTACATTACTGTCAAATTCAGATAGTTTAAGATGCATTTTTCCATAGCAATTTATCGAGAAGTGTGCATTGCACCTTGCAATAGAAAAGCCGCTCCTTTTATATTACTCAGATACTTTCAATTACGCAGTGCATGATAAAGGCAGCAACCATCCTCAGCCAGTAATGAGCTCTTTAAACATCTGTTTTTGTGAAACCACAGAAAGAAGTATATTGCTTAAAACATTGGAGCCCTTTTTTTTGGAAATAGTTCTATGGGTTTGAACAATACCCTGCACTAACAGCATCTTGATTATTGCCTTATCTTAATGATAGTAGCTCAGACAAAACAGTATCTATTAGAACACAACACAGTATGGAGCTGGAGGAACACAGCAGGCCAGGCAGCATCAGAGGAACAGGAAAGTTGACTTTTTGATTTGGGACCCTTCTTCAGAAGTGGGGAGGGGGAAGGGAGAAGGGAGGTGGGAAATAAATAGACAGAGGAGGGGTGGGGCTAGGGAAGGTAGGTGGGATGGTGATAGGCGAGTGCAGGTAGGGAGTGGTGGGTATTGGTTAGTGAGATGGGAGGGGCGGACATGGGATGAGGCCAGGGGTGGTGAATTCCAAGTTTACACCATTGGGCTGTAGGCTCCCGAGGCAGAATATGAGGTGGTGCTCCTCCAGTTTGCAGGTGGTGTCATTGTGACACTGGAGGAGGCCCAGGATAGACATGTCACCCAGGGAGTGGGAGGGGGAGTTAAAATGGTTGGCAACTGGAAGGTATTGTCGCTTGTCGCGTACAGAGCACAGATGGTCTACGAAACGGTCTCCAAATCTGCGCTTGGTCTCACCGATGTAGAGGAGGCCACATCGGGAGCAGTGGATACAGTAGACCAAGTTAACGGATTGTACAGGTGAACCCCTGTCTGATGTGGAAGGTTTGTTTTGGGCCTTGAATGGAGGTGAGGGGGGAGGTGTAGGGGCAGGCATAGCACATCCTGCAGTTGCAAGGAAAGATGCCGGGGGTGGTGGGGTTAGTGGGGAGTGTGGAGCGGACGAGGGAGTCACAGAGAGAGCAGTCCCTCCGGAAGGCAGATAGGGGTGGGGAGAGAAATATCTCTTTGGTTGTGGGATCAGATTGTAGATGGCGGAAGTGGTGGAGAATAATACACTGGATGTGGAGGTTGGTGGGGTGGTATGTGAGGACAAGGGGGATTCTGTCTTTATTTTTGTTGGGGGGAGGGGGTGTGAGGGCAGAGGAGTGGGAAATGCAAGAGATGTGGTTGAAGGCCTTAAAATTCCACCACCACCACCACTACAACCCCCACCTCCGGGGATCGAAAATGCCCTCCAGAGGCCTGTGTTCCTCCAGCTCCCACACGTGCTGTCTCTGACTCCAGCATCTGCAGTTCTTGCCATCTATTAGAACACAAAATGTTAGCCTGGATTGTATATTCAATCTTGGTGTGTTGTTCAAAAACACAATGTCCTGGCCTAGGAGTGATGATGGGATTTGTTCTCCTTACAGCTGAGCAAGTTAGAAGGAACTAACAGGGACATTCAAATAGTAAGGGTTTTGATACAGCAAGAACCGATAATTATTTCCTCTGTCATGGTGCAGGAATCGGATCTTAATTTTAAAATAATCGAGAAAAGAATTAGCAGTACAATTAGAAGCTTTTTTTTAAGCTCTGGAATATGTCTCATGAATTGGTGGTAGAAACAGATGCCATACGAAGTTCAGAAAGGAACAGCTCTTATCTGAAGATGACAAATCTGCAGGGTTAGGAGGAAAATGATGGGGTATAGGGCTAACTTGGATAATTCAAATGGCTGATACAGGCAGACTGAGCCAATGAACCTCTCCTGTTCTGTACTTTTCTAAGATTCTATGATTAGCCACTGATTAATCCAATATGCACATATACTAGGTGAAATACAATCTCAAGCCTTAGACTGAACACTCAAGTCAAATACTACAGTGTACAATTGAAAGGATTTTTGAACCATAAAATAAATCCAGCAAATATTAACACATGGACCAAACATCGCAAAGGTTACTACCCTGAGAACTGCCTTCTTTATTGTAGTTGACTTGTCCCTGTAGAACAAATTTCAGTGGGTATTCACTGTTGAACCACAAATACTGTGTAATTCTCAAATAGCTTCCTTCCCTCCTGTTAAATTCTTAAATTGATACAAAGCCATGTCATTCAATAAACAATTGTTTTCTTAGCCAAAAGGTAAGGCTGAAGCATTATCAAACTTTGTAGCCAGAAGTGCTGAGTGAATGAGCCATCTTGGTCTCCTCTGGAGGTTCCCAGCATCACAGTTGCAGATCTTCAGTCAATTCAATTCACTCCACATTCTCTGCAGCTGTAACACTGTATTCTGCGCTCTGTTCTGCTATCCTAATGTGCTTTGTATGGTACGATTTGCCTGTATAACACTCCAAAAAACACTGTTCTCAGTACACGTGACAATAATAAAATCAATTAATCTACAGGATATCAGAATTGGCAGGAGGTACTTAATGTTGCAAAGGTAATGGACCCTGACAACACTCTGGTAATAGTACTGATGACTAGCTCCAGAACCATAGCTAAAAGTGTTACTAGCTACAACATTCACATCTACCAACAATGTGGAAAATTGCCCAAGTATGTCCTGTGCACAAAAAGCAGGACAAATCCAACCCAGCCAACTATCACCCCAGTATACTCTCAATCATAAACAGTGCTAACAAGCAGCACCTGCTCAGTAACAAATTGCTCACTGATGCCCAGTTTGGGTTCCGCTCGGGCCACTCAGATCCTGAGCCCATTACAGCCTTGTTTCAAACATGGACAAAGAGCTGAATTCCAGAGGTGAGGCTAGAGTGACATCCCTTGACGTAAAGGCTGAATGTGTATCAGAGAGCGTAGCAAAACTGCAATCATTGGGAATCAGTGGAAAATTCGCTGTTGACTAGAGTCATACCTAGCACAATGAAGATGATTGTGGTTGTTGGAGGTCAGTAAAATCAGTTTCAGGACATCTCTGAGGAGTTCCTCAAGGTAGCATTCTAGACCACCCATCTTCAGCTGCTTCATCAATGACCTTCCCTCCTTCATAACAGCAGAGGTGGGGATGCCCACTGACAATTTCACAGTGCATGGCATTAACTGCAACTCATCAGATACAAAAGTGGTCAATGTCTAAAAGCAGCAAGACATGGACAACATTCAAGCCTGGGCTGACAAGAGGCAAGTAACAGTCACACCACATGTGTCAAATAATGATTGACAAAAATCATCTACAAGAAGGGAGAATCTAACCATCGCCCCAAGACATTCAATGATATTAACAATCCCGAATCTCCAACTATCAATATCCTTGGTTACTATTGACCAGACAGTGAACTGGACTAACTTATATGTTACAAAGGCAAATCAGAGGCTCAGAATCCTGCAGCATGTAACTCCCCAAAGCCTGTCCACCATCTACAAACATAAGTCAGAAGAGTAATGGAATACTCCCCACTTCCCTAGATGGGTGCAGCTCCAACAACACAAAAAACTTGACACCATTTAGGAAAAAGCAGCCTAATTGATTTGAACTACATCCACCAACATTCAGTCATTTCACCATTGTTGCTCAGTAGCAGCAGTGTGTTCCATCTCGAAGATGCACTGCAGAAATTCACCAAAGATCCTCAGAGGACCTCCCAAATTCACAACCTCTTATCTAGAAGCACAAGCGCAGCAGATAGATGATAAAAACCATCACCTGCATGTCCCTTGCAAGTTACTCACCATCCTGACTCAGAAATACATTCAGAGCGGTGGGCCAAAATCTTGGAACTCATTCCTGAATAGAATCGCAAAGTCCTAACATGAAATGGACTGCAGCTGTTCAAGGCAGCCAGAACCACCTTCTCAAAGGCAATTTTGGATGGACAATAAAAGTTGGCCCAGCCAGTAAAGCCCACATGTTATGCATGAGAAATAAAAATAACTTTGATTGTATATACCACATAACAGACTAAAAGTCAGGTTTAAAGTTTTTCTCTATTTATTTTCATATCTAGGTGATTTACATATGTACTAGACAAATACGTTAAAGATTTGATGTGTATAATACTAAACATTACTTGACACTGTCAAAAAATGTTCTTTGAAACAATTTTGTACATTACAAGTGATTTTTAAAAATCAGAAAGTGTGTAATTTGTTGCAAATTTCTTTATTGTGGGTTATGGTAAAGGTTAATCTGTAGAATTTTGGTAGAATTTGTAGAAGAAGAAGTTGTTTACTTTCAACTGGTTTTGTAATAACCTATGTGCATACTGGTAAATCAATGCATGAAATTTTGACCTAGATGAGAGGTGTCCTGAAGTAGGAAAACCCCGAGGTTACGATGGAGAAAAATGCAGAGGTTGGAGATACACTCTAATTAAATACTGGTGGCTTTTTAAAAAAAAATCTTTGAGAGAGGAGAAAGCTGACCTAACAGCTACAGACATCCAACCTGCTGTGTTTAGCCAAACAACCCAATTCTGTATGTTCAATGCAAAGACAGGGATTCTAGAGAACTGGGTAGCACCAAGTAGATCTGTAAAGAAAGAAGCCCAGCTATAGAACAGACATCAAAGGTACCGTCTGTGCATGTGGTGGGTTGTGGCCTGATTGTCAGCAATTCCTGTACTTGGATCCTGATGTTATCAGTTGGGATTAAAAGGAAATCTTTTCCAAAACACAAGTATGTTTAAAAGCCAATCGGAGTGAAGTTGATGAAGCTAAAATTAATAGATGTCTCAGGATGAAGAATAGATCATTTAAAACCAAGATGAAGACAAATGTATTCATTTTGAAGTTGTGAATCCTTAGAATTATCTCTCCAGACGGCTGTGAAAAAAAGACAGATTTATGGAGACTAATGACATCAAGGGAAATGGTAGTAGTGTGGGAAAGTGGCATTGAGGGAAATGATCATGGTCTAACAGACTGGCCTGCTCCAATTTGCATAATCTGAAACAAAAGATTAAACTGTGCTAAATTTGATTGAAACTTATACTGTTTGGAAATGTTATCTTACTTGTTCAGTGTACCTATTCCATTGTTATAGGCTGTGATTGTTTTGTTCACGTTTGTGTAGTAAAGAGTCTTTCGGTGTTTCAATTCAATTATTGTTGCTTATTTTCTTATCTTTGGTTCTTCCACACATGTTCTTTAAATTATTATCGTCCATCAAGCCAAACCCTAACAAAGATGCGGTTTGTCCAGTATTCACATATTTAAATCTTTCAACAGTCACTTTTGTCTCACACACACAAAAGTTGAAAATAAAAATGAAACATTTAAAATTAATTGCAAGCAGCATGCTGTCAGTGTTTCCAAATTGGTCATGGTTTGGATTTCTCACATATGTAGTTAAATTCCTTTACTCACCATTCTTCTGTAATTCTTGTCTTTAATCCTGGTAATAGAAATTGGCCATGAAAGCGATAGATTGAGGATATGTTTGAGAATATCCCAGTAATCACATCTTGCGGAATGCCAGCTTCACTTAATTTAGTGCAAAAGACCTAAATAAATAAGTTACAACAGCTGGTGTAATGATATGCATGGGCTGGAACAGATGAAAATGTCTTGTTTTACCTGACAGAAAATGGTTTACAAATTGTGATACAAAACACGGAGGTAAATTTTATCTGAAAAGCTATTGTTTCTCTTGCGACAGAAGAATAAATATATTTCTAACATTACTCAAATGGTACCTTAGTGAATGCCTTGGAAAAACTTTTGCTAAACCATTGATTTTACTCAAATGCTTCCTTGGCATTTTTAGGCACACAGTATACATATGGGGTTTGTTTTAATCACAGACACTAACCATCCATCTTCATTGAATTTAGAAGGATGATATATCTTAAAAGATGCAAAAGCATGCTGACATGCCATTATAATTGAAGGCATATGTACATTTCACACAATGTGCACAGCCAATTTTACAGACACAATGGCCATGCACTTATATCTATAAACAGTGAACTCATGAACATCATGACACCTTTAAGATGAGATGCTCAATAAGGTTTCAAGTATTGTTGACATTTCTAACATAAAAATGCAAACAATGCATCTTTAAAGTGGTAACAACTTTAACAGTGGAAACATATTCTTTGTTCGCTACTTGCAGCACAGTTACATGTGCTAATATGCATTATTTTTTAAAACCCCAGAAAGAGCTGACAAGAAATCAACACCCCACCCCAGCATCAAAACATATACACAAATGTTTCTGAACTCTCCAGCCATTTTTAACTTTTAAGTTCACATTAAAAGAAGCCAGGACCAGCCGTCCAGTTAAACATTTGGTTTGTAGTGACATAGGAGGACAGGGTAAATTGTCGAGAGGGACTGGAGCATCGATAATAGCTTGGCTTGGGCAACTAAATTCCCCTTATTAATAGTACATTGTATTTTCTAGCAATCTGATTGCAGGAACATACATTCTGCATTTCGAGACTGTTGAGTAGATTTGAAAAAAAAGTGAATGTTATTTCCATTCATCAACTGCTGTAACCTGATAACCTCATACAATTGAAACAAAAATAAAACAAGAACCTGCGGATGCTCAAGATCTGTAACAAGAACAAAAGTTGTCGGAGAAACTCAGCAGGTCTAGCAGCGTCTGTGGAGAGAAAGTAGAGTTAACATTTCAAGTTCAGTTCTTTGTTCTGAAGGAGGGTCACTGGACTCAATACAAATAAGACATGGTTTTTAATTTGTTATGCTGACTAGCTTCGCTGGCAAGAGAGCTAGTTTCTGAAATTGATATGGAATACACAAGTGCTCTCCACATTTGTAAAAGATATGTCTGCAAAGATAAAAAATTTCGTTGAAAAAATGTGTTTCAATATTAACAGGTTAATTCGATGCTTTAGATTGAAACAAATGGATTCAATAAGAAATACTTTATATTCATGATCTCCTGGATTGGCTTTGATTGCTTGAGAAGGTCAAGAGAGGAAATTTCCATTGTGTTTTTTTTAATTGGCCCTGGGCTTTGAAAAACAAACCATTGTTAGATTGCTTCTCCAGGAGATTAAATGATTGTTAGGGTGGAAGGACAAGACACAATGGAAAGAGGCAGATTTGTTGCCTTTTATCTGTCCAATTTGCTGGAGACGCACTCAATTTTTCTGGATATTTGTGAGAAGAATTAATGATAATTTACGCTCGCATGTGGACACATGACAGCATTGGCATTAATGCCAATCAGTTTATTCTTTATCAGTCATAAATAATTTACGGAAACCCTGAAAGGCATACTATTTTAAAAGATTAATTTATGCATAGTTATAAAAGTCTAAAAACGAGTCACAATCATAATATGTAGAACAGTAACTTAATCTTATTAGTTTAATGCAATTCTGTGTTTTCTTGTGAATGCCACAATTATAAAGTTATAAGCAATATGGTTCCCCTTGTCCTTACCTATCATCCCACCAGCATCCACATCCAGAAGATCATCAGGCGCCATTTCCGCCACTTCCAGCGAGATGCCACCACCAGACACATATTCCCCTCCCCTCCCTTGTCCGCCTTCCGCAGGGACCGTTCCCTCCGGGACACCCTGGTCCACACTTCCTTTACCCCCAACACCTTCCCACAGCCCTACGGCACCTTCCCCTGTAACTGGCGAAGGTGCAACACCTGCCTATTTACCTCCTCCCTCCCCAGTATCCAAGGGCCCAAACATACCTTCCAGGTGAAGCAACACTTCACCTGCACTTCCCAGAATCTAGTCTATTGCATTCGCTGCACACAATGGGATCTCCTCTACACTGGAGAATTTGAGCGTTAGACCGTTCTGCTCACAAAAAAGACCCTGAACTATCCGTTGCCTGGCCAACATCTCTGTCTCTGGCTTGCTGCAGTGTTCCAGCAAAGCTCAGCGCAAGCTGGAAGAACAATACCTCATTTTCCGCTTGGGGACCCTACAGCCCTCCGGACTCAACATCAAGTTCAATAATTTTAGGGCCTGAACTCTCCCATGTCCTAGCCCACTACCCCACACACAGGCCTTGTTAGCACACAGCCTGCCATTACACACCCCCCTGTTATTAGTCACTAACAGTCCCCATTAACAACTATTCACCCTCCCAGCCTGATTGTTATCAAATCTTTGTCTGCCCAACTGCTCTTCTCTCTCTTTAGGCTCTATCCTATCGTTTACTTCCTAGCCCATCTGCCTCGCCTTTTTTCTGTACATATACTGATGTCTTCCCAGCCACCATCAGTTCTGAGGAAGGGTCATGGGACCCGAAACGTTAACTGATTCTTCCTTCAGATGCTGCCAGACCTGCTGAGCTTTTCCAGCAACTTTGTTTTTGTTTCTGGTAACTTCAGAGTTGCTTTCTCTGCTTTATAGAAGCATATACCTTTGTTCGGCCCGCCCACCTATTTCCTATTCTGTGACAATCCTTAGTTGTTTTAAAAAACATCTGCTTGAAATTCAGATAACAAACTTCAATAAACCTTAATACTTTCAGTCAACAGCAAATAAGTATTTCAAAATATATTTCACTATAAGTGGAATCTAGATAAGACTTTGCATTACCTGATCCAGAAGGTGAAGCCTTTTCACATAGGCCTCTTCTGTGACAAGGAGCTCATTTGCAATATTGTACAACTTCTGTGGCTCTGTGCACTAAAAAGAAATAAATATCAAGTTTACAATTCTAATTTGTGGGAAATGTTTTCATTAATCGCAGTCATGACGTGAAATATACGAGAACCATAAGTTTGGAAAATTAAAACTATTGAACCATTTTATTGAACAGAACTCAGAATTGTGAAAAACTATCAGCTTCAATATTAAGAATGCATTACAGTCGGTAACTGTCTTCCCCAATTATGATTTTAATATTCATTGCAGATCATGTCATAGGTAATAGATTGCAGCAGTTAACGTGTTTGATATTGAGAGGAAATCAGTAGGATAAAGTGCAGAGCCGAACTCGAACATACATTTTTCTTCTCTTGAAGTAAACTCAAACCTCATACCCTCAAACCATGCCAGCTCCTCTTTTCACTCTTTGTCCCAATTTCTGCTTTACTTTGTTCCTTGAGCTAGTTACAATCCCCATCTATCCCAACTATCAGCCTGTCCCTTGAACGGTCAACAGCCACACATATATTACACCTGTTTATTCCTTGCACGAACAGGTCTCCTGCTTTACAATTCCCTTCCAGGATTCCTGCCAGTTCCAACTTCATAGCTATGCTTCTGGGTCAATGCCTCCACAGGTTTTAAGGTTAAAATAGCTGCAGGTGTCTTGCACAACCAATCAGGAATAAGGCATACAAAACTCACTTAAACACAATTCTGTTAGTATGAAATTATGTCAAAATAATATATCTAGGAGATCTGAAAATATTCTTTTATTGCCATGTTGTCATGTCTAAATGATACTGGTAAACAAAATAAAGAATAGTTCTCCAAAAGGTGCGAGTTGAGCAGAAAACTTGCATATTTTAGATAATTCAGATCGTGATAAAATAAACTATAATTGTAATTATAAGCTGTCATTTCTTTTCTCTTGCAAAAGGATTATTAGGCAAGGGAGACATTTTGTGACACTGTTGACTTCACAACGATAATAAACACAAGATCGGTGTAATGGAGTGGCTTCATATTTAATTTCTTCTTTGAGAACTTGAGTCGGAAGGAGTATGGAGACGCCTGGATTTTTAAAAAATAGATATTGAGAAAACACTGGAGCCTTTTCTTCATATAAGAGATTATTGGAAATCATGCAAACAGGGATCCTTGATGGTTGCTTGAACTCACTTCAGGACAAAATACCAGATGGTTTAATAGCTGTCCTATTTGAACAGTGTTTGGACGTTGGGATTTTCTGTTTTGGAGTTAGGTGGGGAAAAGCCTGATCAGCACAAGCTTCCCAGCTTCAGTCTCCTGCTTCTAGGAGGAGTGAAATTCAGTGTGAAACATTCTTGTTTTTCTGGAAGACCGTGACTGAAAGAACTTCTCAATATTGCATTTCCCAAGCTAGCTTTGTTTGCCAAGACCTGACTGATAACCATGCACAATTAATGGATTGACCACACATGCAAGACCTCCAGATCGACAGAATTCAGAATATTCCAAGCCTTATCCTTTTTGGCTTCATGATGGATATTTGTTTTCTTGTTTTAAACTGAATCTCTGCAGAGAGAAATATGTTTTGCTCTGCTTAACTGAAGAGTGCTTCAGAGATTGTGCTTTGGGTTATTTAGAGTAGTAAGCATTTATATTTTCATATCTCAAATTGTAGGAACCAATTCTACTTCTTCACATCATAGCTTTTCATCATAAATCAATAAATTTGTGTTTACAAAAGAAATCTGTTTGATTATTTGAAGTCTAATATATAGAAAACATACAATTGACCTGATCAGGATTTGGGTAAACTTTTTTATAATTTATGTTGTGATCTGTGGACCATTTGAACTAGGAGAAAAAGAGTGCACACCTAACTTGGTTGTAACACGAGCCAAAAGATTTGTGAGATTTATTAGATATTTTACTTCCAAAACACCACAATTCTCAGAACTCTTGGCTGTGTCACTCACTCCATCCTTCTCACCTCACAGCAGGATGTACTGACACGAACAGGGTGTGAAACTAATTCACAAGCGATGACAAGCAAATCAAATAAGGAAAGCATGATCTCAATCCTGCATTCACTATAACTAAGCTGATTGATTCTCTGATTCAACAGTCACTGGGCAAAGCACAGGAAGGTGTCATCTGGCCCATTGCAACTATGGCCAGCTCTTAGAAACAAATGTCTAGTCAAGAGCCGCATCCTAGCTTTTATCCCACAATCCTGTTAATTTTTTTTTATTCATTTGTGGGACGTGGGCATCGCTGGCTGGCCAGCATTTCTTGCCCATCCCTAGTTGCCCTTGAGAAGGTGGTGGTGAGCTGCCTTCTTGAAACGCTGCAGTCCTCCTGCTGTGGGTTGACCCACAATGCAATTAGGGAGGGAATTCCAGGTTTTTGACCCAGCGACAGTGAAGGAATGGCGATATATTTCCAAGTCAGGATGGTGAGTGACTTGGAGTGGAACTTGGAGGTGGTGGTGTTCCCATATATCTGCTGTCCTTGTCCTTCGAGTTGGAAGTGGTCGTGGGTTTGGAAGGTGCTGTCTGAGGATCTTTGGTGAATTTCTGCAGTGCATCTTGTAGATAGTACACACTGCTGCTACTGAGCGTTGGTGGTGGAGGGAGTGAATGCTTGTAGATGTAGTGCCAATCAAGCGGGCTGCTTTGTCCTGGATGGTGTCAAGCTTCTTGAGTAATGTTGGGGCTGCACTCATCCAGGCAAGTGGGGAGTATTCCATCACAGTCCTGACTTGTGCCTTGTAGATGGTGGACAGGCTTTGAGGAGTCAGGAGGTGAGTTACTCGCCTCAGTATTCCCAGCTTCTGGCCTGCTCTTGTAGCCACTGTGTTAATGTGGTGAGTCCAGTTGAGTTTCTGGTCCATGGTAACCCCCAGGATGTTGATATTTGGGGATTCAGTGATAGTGACATCATTGAATGTCAAGGGACAGTGGTTAGATTGTCTCTTATAGGCGATGGTCACTGCCTGGCATTTGTGTGGTGTGAATGTCACTTGCCACTTGTCAGCCCAAGGCTGGACATTGTCCAGATCTTGTTGCATGTGAACATAAACTGCTTCAGTATCTGAGGAATCGTGAATGGTGCTGAACATTGTGAAATCATTGTCGAACATCCCCAGTTCTGACCTTACGATGGAGGGAAGGTCATTGATGAAGCAGTTGAAGATGGTTGGGCCTAGGACACTACTCTGAGGAACTTCTGCAGAGATGTCCTGGAGCGGAGATGATTGACCTCCCACAAGCACGACCATCTTCCTATGTGTCAGGTATGACTCCAACCACCGGAGAGTTTGCCCCCTGATACCCATTGATTCCAGTTTTGCTAGGGGTCCTTGGTGCCACATTTGGTCGAATGCAGCCTTGATATCAAGGGCTGACACTCTCACCTCTGGAATTCGCTCTTTTGTCCATGTTTGAACCAAGGCTGGAATGAGATTAGGAGCTGAGTGGCCCTGGCAGAACCCAAACTGGGCATCACTGAGCAGGTTATTTCTGAGCAGGTGTTACTTGATAGCACTGTCGATGACACTTTCCATCACTTTACTGATGATTGAGAGGAGACTGATGGAACGGTAATTGGCTGGGTTGGAATTGTCCTGCCTTTTATGTACAGGACATATTTGGGCAATATTCCACATTGTTGGGTAGATACCAGTGTTGTAACTGTACTGGAACAGCTTGGCTAGAGGACCGGCAAGTTCTGGAGCACAAATCTTCAGTACTATTGCTGGAATGTTGTCAGGGCCGGTAGCCTTTGCAGTATCCAGTGTCTCCAACCGTTTCTTGATATCACGTGGTGTAAATCGAATTGGCTGAAGACTGATATCTGTAATGCTGGGGACCACTGGAGGAGGCCGAGATGGATCATCCACTCAGCACTTCTGGCTGAAGATTACTACGAATACTTCAGCCTTATCTTTTGCACTGATGTGCTGGGCTCTTCCATCATTGAGGATGGGGATATTTGTGGAGCCTCTTCCTCCAACAAGTTGTTCAATCATCCACCACCATTCTCGATTGGATGTGGCAGGACTGCAGAGCTTAGATCTGATCCGTTGGTTGTGGGATCACTTAGCTCTGTTTATCGCTTGCTGCTTATGCTGTTTGGTGTGCAAGTAGTCCTGTTTGGTGGCTTCACCAGGTTGATACCTCATCTCCAGGTATGCTTGGTGCTGCTCCTGGCATGCCCTCCTGCACTCTTCATTGAACCAGGGTTGATCCCCTGGCTTGATGGTAATGGTTGAGTGGAGGATATGCCGGGCAATGAGGTTACAGATTGTGTTGGAGTACAATTCTGCTGTTGTTGATGGCCCACAGCGTCTCATGGATGCCCAGTCTTGAGTTGCTAGATCTGTGCGAAGTCTGTCCCATTTAGCATGGTGACAGTGCCACACAACACGATAGAGGTTGTCTGCTCTTTCAATACATGTAAAGTTGTCTTGCCACAGTTTCTATGAAATCTAATTCAAGTATTGTGTTCCTTCCTTAACTTCCTATTTGAAATTCTCATTTCCCCCTTGTTCTCTTGCCAGATATTTTAAAGCCATGATCACTGGTTACTGATCTGCATGTTGGGGAATCAGCTTCTTGTTACTTGCTCTATCAAAATCTCTCAACATTGAAGACCTCCTTAAACCTCTCCTTGACTACCTCTGCTCAATGGAAAAAAATCCCAGCTTCTCCAATCATCTCACATGACTGAAATCTTCATCTCTCGCATCATCCTGATAAAGGTCTTCTGTATCAACACCCATCAGCCATAAAAAAAGAGGCCTGGCATTTGTCTAAAATGTGATGTCCACACTGGTATGCAATATTCCAGCCAAGGTCTAACTAATTCATAAAGATTTGGTATACTTGTGTGTCTATGCCCCTGTTCACATTGCCTGACATCCCAAGCACTTTCTTAAAATCTTTATCAACTTACTCTATTGTCTTTAAGAATTTGTCGAGATACACCCCAAGGTCCCTTTGCTGTTTCTCCCATCAATAAAACAGCTCCATTCTGAGTGAGAGAAAAAC